TTTTTATAGTACAATGTATTGCAAGCTCTGCAAAGCAAAGTGCAGATTCTGACTCTGGAAGTTTATTGATTTAGCAGAAAAATCATACTCTGAAACCACACAACAGGAAAAAAGGTCTTATGCTGAAAACTGGGACACTGCTCAGGGTGCAAACAAGCTCTCTCTCCTCTTTTGTTCTTCCCCTCAAAGTTACAGTTTCTTAGAGTAACCTGGTTTAGGCTTGGAACGAGGAGACTGGGGTTCTATTTCCAATTATCTCACTGGCTCTCCATGTCACACTATACAAGTCAGTTAACAACTCTAGATGTCAATTTACCCATCTGTAAAATGGGTAAAATAATATCTAGTTTTCAGGGAATGGTGAGACCTAGTGAATGTTTATACAGAATTGTAAGATCTTTAGATGAAAGGCAATATGTAAATTATTATTGTTATGCTCTTATCTGTTGCCAAACAACTAGGAATCAATTATCCAACCTCAACTCCTTTCCCACCCAGACTGACCAGTCTGTATGTAGTCACATGCACACAACAAACAAAACAGTTTAAAAGTCTTAGAATCTTTCTTGCTCTTCCATAACTGACAGGTAATTTTCCAAGATCAGCTAAGGATAGCTGTTTATTACAAGCATTAGTTTCTTCCTTTCGCATCAAAAAGAGGTCAGAGAGAACAATCATTATCATAAACTGCTCCCTCTGTCTGTCCTCCCAGCTTCATAAAGATCAAGTTTACTACAATTGCATGTGAGTCTCAAAATCTTCTCTGGTTGACTAGATTTGGTCTGATAGGGAAGTAAATGCTCCACTTAAAAATCTAGGGAATTTCTGAGCCTGGTCCACTGGAAGAGGGGGGAGGATTGCCATATATGGGTATAACCCAAGTAACTCAATACCAACTGGCAAGGGAGTGCAGGGGGATTACAGGGATCTCTTGGGTCTGACATGTAAATTCTAGTTCACCAAAGAATGTTATGTGAAGTCTCAAATGAAAGCCAGTGTCACACTGGTCATCTATATTATTGTGAAATGTCTGTCTCTCTCTCACACACACACACAAAATATGTTTTAAAAGTCTGTACTGGTCACCAGGTACTGTCACCAGCAAGGAGGATGAGGGCAGAGGAGAGAGATCTCTATCTGGGGGTATACATCAAAGTTTTGCTCCACTATGGGAGGCTAAGATGACATCCTGGCAACTTTCACTGGAGATGTAAAAGGACAGAGATTTTGCTTCTGGAAAAAAGGGCCTCAACCAGACTTGGTTGAAAGTGCCTAGAAAGCATTTTATGATTTTGTTTTACATTAACTGTTCACTTCCAATATCCTTATTCAAGAAATAGTGAGTCTCTATTCTTTGACAATAAATATTTTTCTGTGAAAACAAGAATAAGTTTAAGTGCTGTGATGTTAAGCATAACGATGATCCTGAGTTAAGTCTTACAAGCTGGCATGTCCAGTTCCTTTGGGAACAGCAGTCCTGGTAATTCTGTGAGTGGTCAGGGAATAAGGGGCTGGACACCACAGGGAATACCCAGAGAATTTGGGTGTTAGCATGTGCCTATCACATCTGTACAGACACAGAAACGCCTCCGGAGGCCTGGAAGATAGTGCTTGTGCTGCCAGAGGCTGTTTTCAGGGAGCTGATTTACAGCAGGCACAGACAAGACTGATTCACACTCAGGGTAGGTAGTGGTGAGGTGCCTCACAATCATGGGTACCTTTGAGGAGCATCCCAATGGAAACATAGGCAACTACAAAACCTCTCTTAGGAAAACACAGCATGCTGAAAAAGGAAAAAAATTCCCCTTAAAATTGTGATTAATTCCCACACCCGAGCAGTATTAGATACCTATGACATTTTCACGGACCAACAGTCATACAGACAATTTTCAGCTAGTTAAGGTTCTCTTTATTCTCTAGAGAGTATTTTGAGACCATATTAGATCAACTTGTGAAATGAAAACTAAATTACTGACTGACTTCAATTTCTCCCATTTCTATACAATGGACCTCAGACATCACAGGTTACTGTCTCAGATAAAGGTTATCTTTTGAAACAAAAGAATCATTAAATCTTTTCTCCTAAATCTGAGACAGATTTCTACAATTAACTCTACTGAGATTGTAGCTATGGATCTTTTATATACAGTATGTCCTTCTAACAATTTATTTGGTTGGCAATCAGCAAAATGCCAGAGTTTTGAGAGTTAAACTTCAAGTATTAGTCTGTTGTGTGCCTTCCTATGAAACATCTGATTAATGTATTTTACCATGTCTTTCTTCAGTTACTATTTATAAGTAGGACTTAAACCAGGTCAGTACTAACCATGTTGTGTAATCTTTGTTTTTATTGTGTATATCTGCCACAAGAATTGCTTCTCAAAGGTTTATGTATACATGAATGTATATAAAATGTCATGACAGCAATATTCGGAATGCTACTGGAAAAATCTGTCATCAATGAACAGTTTTTGGGTTGTTTTTGTTGGTTTTTTTAATAAAAAAGGGTTTATCTGGGTTATTTGGTATTAAAGTGATTTATAATAATAGGCAGTGAAATAAATCACTGCAATGAAAAAGAGAAGATGAAAATGCTTAAACCTAAGCAGGGAAAAATCAAAGTTGATTCAAAACCACATTAATGAATAACTTCTAGCCTGAGTAAGATTAAATTTCAAGGAAATTACAATAAAAAGTACACAATGAGCTTGACCTCCATAAATCACACATATTTTGTATTCATCAAGAGCACACTAACACAACATAACATTTCCCTAATATGAGTTTGTGAATAAAACACAAATAAAAAGGGAATGAGAGAGAGCTGGTAATGGTCAGTGATATACTGATATGGGTATCAATATTTTAACAAGCAGCTCCAAATTCACTCTCTTTAGCCTGTGAGGAACCTTACATTTATGACTGCACAGTGTGTGTGTGTGGGGAGGGAAGGAAAATGTGGAGTCTGCCTATGGTTTTTTTGGAAATGTTTTGAAGCCTTTCGTTTGGTACAATCTGAGCCATCGTAGAAGGCCAACCATTTGCTCTTAGGAGCATTATTACCAGCCTGATCTAGCAGAGATGTTCTATTAGTATTGAAGAGGGGATTGAATTGTACTAGAAGCAAGGAAATCAACGCAACATTCCCCTTTCAGATGGGCGTGCAGAAGTTTAAGGAGGTGCTGCTGGAAGCCACCGCCATTGCATCAGTGAAGCTGATAACAATTAAATGAAGAATACTAATCTTTAAATAGATTAGCCTCTGAGCATGGGATTAACAAGTGAAATTCTTCCATTATTGGGATAATTGCCGCTTCCTCTGAAGAGTCTGGTAGTGACCACTGTTAAAACAGAATATTGGACTTGCCTGACCACTATTGTGATCTCACCAATAGTCACAGTTCCTGTGTTCTTCTTAGCCCCTGTGTAGTTTCCAATTGCACCATTGGAAGAACTACAGCAGATGAATTGTCACTTACATAACATTTCAGACAAGAGAAAAATGGACCTTTGAACAATTTCTGCAACATACAAGATGTAAACATACTTATCATATCAAATACACAAGCCTTTTAACCTCTTTTTATATTGTACTCATTTTTTTATTGTGTTTGATTTCCTACATATCCTTTTTGCAATACCTCAAGCAGTAACACAGTACCCAGCTGCAAGTGCATGTCTGTGGATTGTTTTAGAAATAGTCCTTCTATACTCCAGTAACATGAGCTATCTACCAGTTGTGACGGACCCAGACCAGTGGGGTACAGGAGTCTGGTAGAGGGCAAATATGCTGGTGACTGGATGAGTAGTTTTCTGTTCCCTGAGTGACCAGAGAAGGGGCTGCACTAGAGTAATCAGGAACCTGCTAGAACCAGTTAAGGCAGGCAGGCTAATTAGGACACCTGGAGCCAATTAAGAAGAAACTGCTAGAATCAATTAAGGCAGGCTAATCAGGGCACCTGGGTTTTAAAAGGAGCTCACTTCAGTTTGTGTTGCTAGTGTGAGGAGCTAGGAGCAAGAGATGCAAGGAGCTGAGAGTGTGTGCTGCTGGAGGACTGAGGAGCACAAGTGTTATCAGACACCAGGAGGAAGGTCCTGTGGTGAGAATAAGGAAGGTGTTTGGAGGAGGCCATGGGGAAGTAGCCCAGGGAGTTGTAGCGGTCATGCAGCTGTTACAGGAGGCACTATAGACAGCTGCAGTCCAGAGGGCCCTGGGCTGGAACCTGGAGTAGAGAGTTGGCCCGGGTTCCCCCCAAACCTCCCAATTGACCTTGACTGTGGGTTCTTCCAAAGGGGAAGGTCTCTGGGCTGTTCCCCAACCCACATGGTGAATCTCTGAGGCAAGAAAATCTGCCAACAAGCGCAGGACCCACCAAGATAGAGGAGGAACTTTGTCACACAGTGTTTTATGATCTTTTGTACAAAGAACTACATTTGGGGGATGGAAATCAATGTTCTCAACTTAGCCTGTGATTACCCAAAATATGCTCCTGGACTTTTAGTACCAAAAGAAGAGGAGCTAAAGGCAGGTATCTGGAGTTGTCAGGAATAGCATTATCAGCATAAGCAGAGTATGTGAAGGCAGTTTTCTGAAACTATACAATGAAACCAAACTGATGCTGTCTAGTAGTAATGGAGATTATTTCTTTGTTGATGGATAGCAAGTATGCAATACAGTAGTCATTAAAACTCAAAGCTAAGATCTGAAGAAGGGAATTCCTTTGGCTCATAAAAGGAAATCTTTGCTATGGTAAATAGCTGATGACATTACACATATAAGTCTGTATGTTAAGTATATGCTAGAGTTTTCTATGCTGATAGATATCATGAAGCTGAACAACCTGAGGAGACTCATACATATTTATATATATATAAAGGCATGCGTATATAAGTGAAATATTTATTAACAGAATTTTTTAACCATTTTTTTATTTTAATCATTGTATGCTACACAAATTTGCTTAAAGCTGTTTAAAATTAAATAGAAAATGTGTTCTTACCAAAATAACTTGGAAAAGTACTGGAACAAGATTACTTTCTTCAACAAGGCTGTAAAAAATAACATTTTTATTTATATTAATGATCTGTTATTTAACACAATGAACTTACACAGGGAGCAGTGCAGCACAAGTCTTTGATGCTAAAATCTGTGACCTAGAACCTCATTCTTTGACTAACTTTTCATATAAATGAATTCCACTCCAGCTATTAAATAGAAACAGCAATGTAATTCTTCAGTGGAAATTACTCCTTGGGCTGGCCTTACTGATGTGAGGCAAATGAGTGGAACAGTAAGAAAATTAATATTTTTTTAAATGGCAGAAATTAATTAAAATTCAGAAACAGTATCAAACAGGCAATGTAGATGGTAAAATAATTTGAACTAATAGACCACAAAGCATACAGTGAATTTATAAGTATGCTGTGTGGTAATTTTGTATGTATGCCCAATTTACTATCTTCTCTACTCTAAAATAATAATGTCCAATGAATTTGCAGCATCTTCTTTTTTTAAAAAAAGTGTTCAACTGCTCAACCAGCATATTCTAAATATTTTCTCCATAAAAATCAGATACAGATCATATATTATAAGAGGGGAATATTCAGAAAAAGGACAACAGCAACAACTATTAAAATTTATACAGCATTTTTTCATCCTACAACTGCAAAGTGTTTTATGTGTATTAATAAATTAACCTTCACAATATCCTTGTGAAATAACCATCGGTTCAATTTGCTTCCTTTTAAGTTAACTCTCATTGATTTGAGTGGGAACAGGAACTGGTCCCTTATTTCCAAATAGCTAAAATCTGATTTGCTTTAAAAGTGTTCTACTCTGTTTTAATAATTTAATCTTAGTAGCTTACCTCATACAAAAATCAAACTAAGTTAAAAGAAAATTAAGACCACCAAGTCAAACACTAAGAAGTTCAAAAATGCCAATATTAAAATTGTTTTTACCACCTTAATTTGACCCCCTTGTATCTCTACATTATGTGATCAAGCAGTTAAAACTATATCATACTATTTTTTCCAAAGGGTCCCTGCCTCATTCAGTGCACGGGATTGATGGTGCTCACTGGTCGAGAAGCTATTGGCTATTTCATTTTATCCACATCACTCAATGTGCTACACCATGGCTTAGTTGCCACACATCATCCAAACCATGCCACTGAATAAAGAATTATTCATTTTCTCATGGGCTTTCACTTGGGTGCTTTCATCATTTATGTTTTTGAAGCACTAAGAGACAATGACTATCTTCCCAACATCCCCATGAGATTAGGTGGTATTGTTATCCCCATTGTACAGATGAGGAGCTGAAGCATTGAGAGATCAAGGCCAAAATTGTCCAAAGTGTCCACAAATTTTGGTTGCTGAACTGGAGATGCCTAAAATCTACTTTTTCAGAGTATTTGGTATAGTAATATTATGCAGACAAGCCACTAACAAGGGGTGATACACAGACTTTGCTAGGGGATTTCATAGCTACTATTTGCTAGACCATAGAGTAATGATGAGACACTCAAATCTTGAGGTCAACTCCAGATTTTGGAATGGAGTTTGCTTTATTAATGTAAACGCTTCAGTCCTTGTCCTCCACCAACCTAACCCTTTCTAACCAGTACTCATGTTCCACGAGCTTGTCCTTTTCTGTCCCTGCTCCCCCACAATCTGACTATGTCCCTTTCAACATCTACCCATACCCAACCTGCTCTACCCAGTTCCACACCCCTACGTTTCAGGGAGGCTGCTCTCCCTGATTCCAGTTCTTATGCCCAGCACAATAGCAGCCAGAAACAGCAATTACACAAAGTCCAGCTTGGCTCCTGCAGCCCTTGGATTGAGCATGCTCTGTGTAGATGGCATCATTTGTGAATTTATCTGCCAGCCACTAGCAGGCCTCTACTGAGCAAGTGCAAACTACAATTTTCAAAGCAATATAATTTGGCCAAATGTGGGTGGATTTTCATAGGCCAAATAGAATACACCAGTTACTCTACCAAATTTTAAGTCCCTACTCTAAAGCAAGGTGGTGCTAGACCTTCTCAATGAAATGGGTGTAAGATTTTTTTTAACATTGGAAATGCACTGTATTTTTCCCAGCCTCATCTTCAAAAACAGTGGAACCATTTTGCTGAAACTTTATCCAAAACAATTCAGTCTGAGGCAGAGAGACAGCATAGAAAGGAAATAGACAACCTTTACTATAGGTTTTGCTGTCAGTTAACATCCATAATTAACAAAGAAACAATTTATTAAAAAATACAACCCACTCTCTATTTTTTGTGTAGCAAACAAAAAATCCGGTCTTAAACAGAACCATGTTAACATGTGCTCTATTAGAAACAGAGGGAAACAAAATTTGCTAAATAGGAAAGACAAATAACAGTAAAGAAAAATTTCATTTTAATGTGCCCAGAGAATACTACTAAAAAAGTAGTGTGATAGTTGTTTTTATGGTGCTGTTTAGTACAAAATGATTCTGTTATTTAAAAAAATAAACTCAGGGAATTTATTGCTTGCGAATGGTGCTAGACCAGTGGTTCTCAACCTATTTACCAATGTGTTATGTGCGCCGCATCCAATACTACCTCTCTGGCCCTGAGAATGTCACATGGCCCGCAGTTCTGTGCTGATTGGGCCGCAGGTTGAGAACCACTATGAGGGAGGGGTAAGAGGACCATTCATTCGCTGTAATAGGAGGTTACTTACTTGTGACTGGAGGTTCTTCAAGATGTGTGGTCCCTATCTGTATTCCTTTGACTCATGGTTTCGTCCCGGGTGATAAACGGCGGGGCGGACCAACAGCCTCTCCAGTTCTTTCTCCACCACGAATCAACAGATCCACAGCAGAGGGGAAGGAGGGTGGGAAGTAGAATACAGATAGGGACCACACATCTCAAAGAACCTCCTCCTTTTCTTTGAGTGATGGTCTCTATTGTATTCCACTGAGGGTGATTAACAAGCAATACTTAAGTCGGAGGAGGGTGAGAGGATGAAGACGGAAGGGTTAATGGAGCTGCACCAAAGGAGGCCTCCACTGCCAAGTTCTGCACCAAGGATATAATGTGTAGCAAAGGTGTGTACTCGTGCCGCTCTATGTATATCCCAGAGTGGTAGGTCCTGGAGGGAGACCAGGATTGAAACCTGGTCTCTCGTGGAATGAGCCTGAAGCATGCCAGATACTTGGTAGCAGAGTGCAATGTACACTGAAATCCACTTGGAGATTCTCTGTTGAGACTCCCTGACCTTTCACTCTTTCAGTTGTAGCAACAAACAGTCTGGGGGATTTTCTGATTGGCCTTTTCCTCTGCAGGTAACATATATCGAGGGAGTGGAGTCGTCATTCCTCTTCTGAGGCATGTGGCTTCAGGAACAAAGCAGTTAAGTGAATGGATTGATTAACGTGAAAATGGGAGAGGGCCTTTGGCAGAAATTTGGGATACAGGTGCAGGGAGACTTTATCTGTATGGAACGTTGCAAAAGGAGGGTCTGCCATCATGGCCCCAAGTTCACTGACCCTTCTTGGTGAAGTGATAACAAGGAAGGGGACTTTCATGGCATGAAGGGACATAGAGCACGATGACAATGGTTTGAAGGGTGGTTTAGTTAGTGTGGATATAACAAGGTTGAGGTCAAACTGGGTAGCTCTGAGTTTTATGGGTTGGAAGGTTCTGATGAGACCTTTCCAAAATCTAGAAGTCAACAGGTGTGTAAAGACAGCGTCCTTCACGGGGGAGTGGAAGGTGCTAACTGCCGCTAGGCAGACCTTGAGAGAGTTGAAGATAAGACTGGATGCTTTCAAAAACAGGAGATAGTCCAGGAGGAGGGGAATCCCCACCATTTCTGGGGAAAGTCCCTTTTTATTGGAGCCAGCAGGCAAAATGTTTCCACTTGGCCCAGTAACAATGTCTAGTGGATTCTTTCTTGCTGCTAAAGAGGATGTTTTGCACTTCTGATGAACATGCCCTTTCTAGAGAAGATGCCCATCCAAATACCACATTCTGAGGTGAAGCGCCTGTGGTTTGGGATGTCTGATCTTGCCGTTGTGCTGAATCAGTAGATCTGGGAAGGTAGGGATGGGGATGGGAGGACAGGGTGACATAAGAAGGAGGCTGGGAAACCAGCACTGTCTGGGCCACCAGGGGGGTGATTAGGCTGATTGTCACTCAGTCTCATCTGATCTTGTGGAGTACCCGTGGTAGGAGCAGGAGACAACAGAAGACATAATTGAAATGGTCCGGCCAGAAGAGAATGAGGGCGTCCTCCTGGGAGTGATGTTCCAGCCCCCCACTGGAACAATATGCATTGCATTTTCTGTTCACTGGGGATGCAAAGAGGTCTCTGATCAGAGTTCCCCATTTGTTGAAGATGTCATATAATACAGTGTTGTGGAGTTCCCACTCATGATTGATCATACATTGTCTGCTGAGCAAGTCCGCAATTGCATTCTGTGCTGAATGCAGCACATCTTGATGGGGAGGTATAATCTCCCTAGAGGTAGAGAGGGTCCAGAAAAGCGTGGAGATGTCGGGTCTCCCAGAATAAACATGTCCTGGGGTTCTGACGCTCTCCCCAGTCTACCAGGAGTTAAGGGCACCCACTCTGTACCCAGTACCAGCACCGGAGTGAAGGGCTTCTCCGAAACAGAATGGTCTCTTGTTTTATGAAGCACTGATGTGGTCAGTGTCAGTGGTCTGTACCCAGTACGGGTGGATCTGCCTTCTTGTGAGGCCTCTACTCAAGTTGATGAGGCTTGGCAGTGTTCCCATTCTTGTGGAAGCAGCATCCCCTTTCTTGGGCTTGCAGGAAGCCTTACTGTCGTGCTTATGGTCACGGTTCCTCACCTCCTTACTAGGCCCCCGGTTTGTGGGGTCCATAGTGGTGATACCACTGGTGTCGGACTGTAACTCTGTAGCTGGAGGGGCACTCCTGGATATCTCAGCCCAGTGTATGGGGGAAGTTTTCCCCAGCCTGGAACCAAATGAGACCTCATGGTGACTTCTATGAGGTGCTTCTGGAGGTGGAGAGCCTGACCTTCTCAG